ATATTTGAAAATTTAAAAAGAGAGATGAATACTATCTGAGCAAAAATTAATTTACAAGACTTAACACACAAGCATATCCAAATAAAATAATAGAATTTAAATAAAGAATTCTTGAGATAGAAAAGAATAAGCCATATACAAGAAGAAAATTTCAGGGGGAAAATTCAGGCTTAAATTGGATTTTTCAGTAACATTTAACACAAAAACATAGTTGTAAAATCCATGAAAAATCTTCAAGAAAAAAATGTAACGCTGAGATATGAAAAAAATCAAGTGTTTTCTCTACTCTTCCTACTAAATATAACATTTCTGAGACCAAGTATGTATGAAGTTTTTTTTTTATCATACATCAAGCAGATCATTGGACACCAGCTGGATTATCTGCTAATTCAATTCAACTGTGACAGTGTCTCCTAGAGAGAGCATCAGATCCCATAGGTTGCAAGTTCAGTCCCAGCAGACCATCCTCCAATTCTGCCAATGAAAAGTCCAAAATTGTGACCTGTACTTCTGACCTAGTGACTATAAATCACAGTTTTGATTACCTCACCAACCAACCAAGTTATTAGCTCAAAGAAATATTAACGTTTGCCAGTTTATTCATAAAAGATTTTACCCTTGTTTTTAAGGATGATTCTTACTTTATAAGTTTTCATTTATTCCTTAGGATTTCACTTGTGTCATGAAGAATTTTGTTTCGGACATAATTCTTTACAGACAAAACCAATAAAGAGGTACACAGAACAAAGTTCTGGAGCATCCTAAGCACAGTATTTCACTCCCGATGGAATTGGAATGCTCAGCCCTTCCAGCATGCAATGTATTCGCCAACCCTGAAGCTTTCTGAATCCTTTAGTCAGGGGTTTTTATGGATATGTCATCATTAAGCATGATCAATAACTAACACATTTCCATCCTTGCTCCAGTGTCCAGAGAATGGAGCTTGGATCTGAAGTTCTAAGCTTAAAACCATGGTGACTAGCTCCCATCCAGAAGCTAAGAGTGGCTTCATTAGAACAAAAGATAGTCCTCTTGCCCAGGAAATTTTAATGCCTCTGTTTCAATAATCAAAGTCAAAGACCAAATATTGGAACAAAATATACTCCTAGCTCATCTATTGCCCAGAAAACTTCAAGGGTTTCAAGGGCTCTCCAGATGTGGAAAGCAGAGACCATTAAATGTCATTTCCTATTATCTGATGATATTTATTAGTTTATAATAATCCCCCAACCAAATAAGCCTCAAATATAAAAGTTTTATTAAAGATGTATGGACTTCTGGGAGCTGGAGAGATGACTCAGCAGTTAAAAGCACTTACTGCTCTTGCAGAAGACCTGAGTTCAGGTTCCAGCACCCACATGATGACTAACTGTCCATAACTCAAGTTCTGGGGCACAGGTACATTTAACAAAATGCAGGCAAAACACTCATAGACATAAAAATAAAGGTAAATAAATTTAGAAATATATGGACTAAGACAACTGGGGAACCAATACTGCTTCCTGACCCTTTTCATCCAGACCAACCTAGTGCCTTCTCTGGGCCCCAGGAGCACTGCTTCTGTGCCTGGCCCCACCCTTACCTCCCCCTGCTTCCCTGGGCATGCACCACCTGCAGCAGGCCTCTCTCCCACCCACAGGCCTCTCTCCAGGGTAGGTCCATGGTGCCTTCCACGCCTTGACTCCCCATTTACCCTCCCATCTCCCCCACCATTCTCTCCTCCAAGTTTGGGCCCAGCCCCATTCCTTGTCTTGGGGCCCCAGACACCTAAGGAACCAATACTGCTTCCTGAACCCTTTCATCCAAACCAACTTAGTGCCTTCTCTGGGCCCCAGGAGCACTGCTTCTGGACCTGGCCCCCCTGCTCAACTCCCCCTGCTTTCCTGGGCCAGCACCACCTGCCATCCTCTTTCTGGGACTTGGGAGCTGACCTTTCCTCTTCCTGATCCTTTGCATCCAGACCAATCCAGCTCCTCAGTGCAGTCCCCAGGAGTCCATGGGGCCTCTTCCCACCCCATCTGCCTTTGCATCTCTGGGTGTGATGGCCACCAGCTGCCCTAGCTCAGCATCTTTTGGGGCCAGGCTCCCAGGCCAGTCCAACCCCAAATTCCTGAGGCCAAAATTTTTCCTGGAGGAATCCAGACCTTAGGAGAAAGCCTGAAATTATCTGACCCTCATCTGAATTGGGCCTCTGTGGAAACTCCCAAAGACAAAATCAATCTGGCCACTCCGATGTAAAATCAAGAGAGCTGGAAGCTTAGACAAACCAGCTTTTCATGCCCAAAAAGTAAACCACAAAGAACATAAAGTTCACAAAAAGAAGTAGACCTAAACTTGAAGGTCTGAGTCTCACACAAGAACCAGAAACTGCAAAAGAAATTCACATGCCAAAATCAAAAGAGAAAAAATAATAATATGAAAAACCAAAGTAACATATCCCCACCAAATACCAATAGTCCTCTACAGGAGTACAATGAGAACCCCCTAGAGATAATGCAGGACATGGAACTCAAAAGAACATTTATAAACATGATAAAAGAATTCAGTGAATTTAAAGAACACACACAAAAAGAAATCAAAGAACTGAAGGAAGATAGTGAAAAACTTCTGAATGAATTCAGAAACAAGTTAGAAATACTGAAGAATAAACAGACTGAAATAAAGAAGGAAGTGAAACACTCAGTAAGCCAATTAGAAACAACAGGAGAAAGTCTCAACAACAGGATGAACTAAATGGAAAAGAGAGTATCAAGACTGGAAGATAAAGTGGACGAACTAGACCGCTCAAGCAAAGACTATGAAAAATTTAAGAAATCACAAGAATGGAATACGCAGGAATTGTGTGACTCCATAAAAAGACCAAACTTGAGAATCACAGGGATACAGGAAGGAGAAGAATCCCAAGATAATGGCATGGACCAGATCTTCAACAGAATCGTGGAAGAAAATTTCCCAAAATTAAAGA